TTCTGCTCCCCACTCTGTCTCTGGTGAATCCTCTCACCGCCCCTGAGCCTCTGGCCTGTACCCCAGTTCTGTATGTACAAATAAATAAAAAATAAAAAAAAAAAAGGTTGAACAAAAGAAGTCAAAGAAATGTCAAGTTGTTCTCTGACATCATAGGAAGATGTTAACTTGACCATGGGAAGGCCTCTGGGACTGCTGCATTAAAGCCTGCCTCCCAGGGTCAAAGGCCACCTTGCTGTTTCCCTGGATTCCTATGACCAAACATTCCACCACTGCACTGTGAACTCAGGACTCAGCTTCTTGAAAATAATGCTGCTAAAAAGCACCCCTGTTATCACCCCATGATCACTCACACTGAGAGAGATGCACAAATAGCCAGCCATGAGGGAGGAAGGGTGGTGGGGGCTTATGCCCCTGATTAATGGCATAAAGAGAATGGGGGGTCCAGTTGAGGTCTACAGAGTTGGGGTCCACTTAAAGACTGCAGCACAGCATGGAGCACAGAGGTACTGACTGGGCTGCCCTTCACCCCCAGAACAGGGCTAGGTGGGTCCACCAGGCCTTCTGGTCACACTACCGACCCAAGTGCTACAGCTGGCAGTGATAAGTTCTCAGGGTGGTCATCTTTTGGTCTCAGTTTCCCCAGCTGCACAGTGGTAGTTTCACCTGGAAAGCTGGAAAACGTGATGACATTACCCAAAAGGCCCTACAAGGAGAGCTGAAGAGCTTGCTCTGGCCAGGGAGTCTTATGGCCACTTAGATTCTACGTCATTGGAAGGATTCATACCTCAAAGATGCCCAGATTGTGCGTCAGAGAAACAGCACAAAACCAGTTATTGGGGGTTCTATTCCAGGCCCCCAGCCAGGCCAACTGGGCAAGAGTTCTCTGGGGAATCTGATTCACCTGTACCAGTGTGGCCAATCAACAGACAGTGGGGCCAGGAAAATGTTATGCTGGATCCAGCAGTCAACAGTTAGCACCTCTTGGATACAACAGGAGTCAAGGTGGCTCACTGGACTAACCTAACTCATGGACATTATTCTTACCGCTTTGATGGAAGGAGAGAGAGACAAATATGAACAATCCCTCCTCCTCACGCCCACATTTTTCCCACCCCTCCTGACAAGCTGACAAGAACAGTGTTTCCAAGAAGCTTATTTTTCTGTGAAACACAGGACAACACAACTGCTCTCCGTGAACCTCCGTGAGATGTCTTCTGGCTGCTGCTCCTGCATTCTGAGGGCAGCTCCCATGCTGTCAGCTAAAAATGCTGCTCTGTATCATTATTAGGCCAGAAGCCTCGCCACACAGTCAGACACCCATCCTGTGCACTTGCCGTATTACCAGCAGGAAGATCTGCCCCCACACAGGACAGGAGAGGAACTGGTAGCGTCTGGAAAGAGGGACAGACTGTGTAGGGAAGCAACAGCCCCAACAAAGGTGACGACCTGTGATGGTCAAATAGAAAAGACCCAGCTGTGGGTCCTCCTTGGCGGGTCAGAGGGTTAGAACACAGAACCAAGAAGCTAAAGCCACTTCAGCTGAGTTCGATCCCCAGCCAGGGAGGTGACCCACATGGCGGCAGACCTCTCCTGACCTGCCCACTGCTCCCCTCAGCAATGTACTGTGTCGATCTGCCTGTTCTGCTCCCCACTGTCTCTGGTGAATCCTCTCACCTCTCTCACCTCTGGCCTGTACCCCAGTTCTGTATGCATAAATAAATAAATCTTTAAAAAAAAAAAAAGACCCAGCTCTATACTGACAACAGATACAAGCTATACACTTCTCTTTACTCACCGGGCCTCTAGGACAGGACACAGTCTCACCTCTGCTTCTAGGCTTCCTATTAAAGCCTACTGGACAATTTACTGGGCCTTGAATGAGGCCCAGAGTATATTAATATAGTCATCTATGGGTCAAAATATGTTGACATGAATTAATAAATTTCAAAGTGTCATTTACCTGCGATCAACATGTCACATAGGCTCACACTTGCCCTTTTAAGTGCATTATTAATAAAAGAAGGTGGATCTTCAAAAGGCAAATCTACCTGCCTTTCAACCAAGGTAGCTGTCACCTTCCATGTCACCTACCTCGGCCTCCAAGTGAAAGGCTAAATGCGAAGAGACTCGGGCTAGCTGGCCACACTCAAGTCCCAGTCCAGCATCCCTTAGGTGTGGAATGCAGCCGACTGTATCAACTGTCACTCCAAAATACCAGATGACGTGCCAAATCTCGAGACTGTGGTAAGCAGGGGACAAAGGTGTTGTTTTTAGTCCATGGAGAGACATCTCCGTTACTCCAGGGCACGGGCTAGGTTCTTCCTTATGCTGCTATATGCAGCGCACAATGGCACTAATTAACAAAGGCACAGAGCCCAACCCAGGGCACACCACAGCTGCCCCGCAGGGGCCTGCCAATACCAGACCATGATGTTATTGGAAACCCAGTTCATACAGCACCCACATTCCATTCGGTCTACTCAGGACGGTGGGGCTGCCCCTGTAGATACTAGTATCTTACGCAAGGGGTGACCTGATTAGTTGGGGAGCTGTTAACAATGAGGGATAAAGCTACAGCCCTCTGGAGCATATTTGCTGATGTAAAATGCTGATCTTGGCTCAGCTGGAGGATGGTTCTACTGTGCAGATCTCCCTGATGCACACACAGACTCTCATTCTTCTGGCACTTTTGCCTGCTTGGTAGGAGCCTTTCTTTGCAGATAAGGCAACTGGGGCAAGGGACAGCTAAGTGGCTTAGCTGGAGCTAACAATGAGCTGGAGCTGCAGAGAACCCTGTGTGCAGACCTCAGGAAGCCTGGCACTCCTGGGAGTGGTCGGTGCAGTTGAGTCTGACCAGGCACTCTGGAATCTTAGGTCATCCATAAAAAGGAGATGACACGTGGGGATTACAATTGAGATGAAAAAAAAAATGTGAAAAATGATGTAAAAATAAACTTTTTAATTTAAAAAAAAAAAAAAAGGAGATGACAATACCTACTTAGGCAGAGTGCAAGAACAAGCCATATCCCAAACCTTGATCTAGAAAGTCAAAGATCATCAGGATTCAAATCCTGGCTCCACTATTTCTGTGTGACCCTTCGGCAAGTTATTCATTTTCTGAGTCTTGATAAAACTTAAAATAAGGACAATACTGTAATTCATTCATGTTAAGATACATTTTCTCCCATTCATTTTTCAGTTCTAAAATCAGGATGCTTCCTAAAATTGATGTTCTGGACTAAGGGGCAGATTTTCTTTTCAGTGGGCACTATGTACACAGCACTAAGGACGTCCAGATTTGATGTAAACACAAAACAAAACAAAAACAGAGGTGTATTCTTGAAGGGCTGCTGTGAGGGCTGGGCGTCAGAAGCTGGGTCAGAGTAAGCCCTCCCTGGATGTCAGATAGCCTGCAGGCTGTGACTGGTCTTGGCCTGGGAGGGTGTGGCCTGTTGCCTGGTGCACACTGCTCCAAGGGTCTGGTGCTGGGCTGAGGAGCAGGTTGAAATAATGGCACCAGTGCATCAGAGTGGTGGGGTCCAGCCAGGTTACAAATGCCCTGGGCAGAAAGAGATTTTGCCCAACTCCTTACCAAAGGGAGCCTGGCTCCTAGGTCCCAACTTCCCCCTCCAATCTGTCAAACAGGGCACTCAAAGTGGAGCCCTGAGGAGGCAGGCAACAGCGTCATGCTGAGGGGCAGCCTTGGTGGTTGTTATTATTCCCCGTTCCAGCCCTGGTCACATAGCAAATGTGCATTAAAGTCTGCAACCTGCCTACTTCAATTTTCAGAGAGGAATGCTCTTAGATTCTGAGCCAGAACGTGCTGTCGGAGATACTATTACAGCACAAGAATTATAGCAGAGTAAACGATCTTGTCCTTTAAACTTCCCAACATTCTAACAACGGTTTCGAAGTTAATCAGGCTGCGCCCGCTGCACAGCCTATTTAATTGGTTTTCCTCCTTACAAAGAAACTCTTAACACCAGGAGCAGTGGGTGATTTTGAGGAAGAGAGGCAGGTGCACCTGGAAGCCCTGATTACAACCTCCGGTGGCGGGGGCCGTGCCAGCAGATTAGAGGGTGTTCTGACTCAGCAAAACTGGCACGGCCTTTAAAAGGAGCCGAACTGGGCCCCAGAACGACCTGGGGTTGCGTCCTCACATGGAACTGACAATTGGCTCTAAACCGGGCGCAGCCACCAAGCCACCCAGCGGCGCCCCCGAGGCGCGGGTCCGAGCGCAGGGGCGGGGCGAGCCAGGGGCGGGTCCTGCCCGTGGGCGGGGCGGGGGTCACGTGTGTACACAGCGCCCGGGCAGCGTGCGCGCCGTGAGCCCCGCCGCCTCCTCCAGCCGACTCCAGCCCGGCGGCCACTGCGCGGCCTGCGGCCCAGCCAGCGGTGAGTGGGCACCCAACCCGGGCGGGGGCGGCCGGGCAAACGCGGGGTTTCGGACCGCGAGGGGAGCGAGCCCCGGGCCGCGGCGGCTCCGCACGACCGGGCGCTCCGCTTGCGCTCTCGGGTCCTTGGCCCCGCCCTGGCGCTGTCCCCTCGGGGTGGCGGCGCTGTCCTCCCTACAGTGGCACTGCCCCTGTGTGGGGTGGGGACACCGTCCCGTTGGGTGTGGGGGCAATGTCCTCCGCGCGGTGGCACCGTCCCCGTGCGGGGCGGGGGCGCTGTCCCGGGTATAGGATCGCCTTCTGGGCCACGCTGAGCCAGGGGCCAAGGCAACCGGGGCTGGCGGCCAGGGGCCATGGCCGCTGCCCCGCTGTCATTAACTTGTCAAGGGGCAGCTGAAATCTGCTGTCTGCCTGGGCAGCTTGAGCAGCACTTCTGGTTCTTGGTGAGCCCGGCAAAGGACTGACCATGTTCTCCTGGGTCACTATGATTACAACTTCTGTCCTCGTTGATTACAGCATTTTTTGATAAGTTCTGAAACTGCACCAAAATGGAGATATAAAGTCTGCTAGTTGTATGGATACTTGATAAATATAAAACCGTATGGGCATGAAAAGGCTGTTTGGAAGCTTCAGAGGATGGCTGTGCAACCCAGCCTGTGAAACACCCTTTCTACCAGCAGACAACACCCCAGCACTAGTTGGTATAAACAGACTAAGCTGGGTGTTCATCTGAATGTGGTAATCTAACTAGTATCTGCAGTGCGCGGAGGTGGCAGCTTGGGGGTTATTTTGCATTAGCTGTCCAGCGTAGTCCCTGGAGGCATGCTCATTTGAGATCTCTGTTCCACCTTTAAATAACCAGCGCCGTATCTTAACTGAGCAGCATGACACCTTTCCCCTATCATCAGCATCTAGTGGAGGCTAGCATTCGATAACAGCGGCAAGAAGCTTGCTCTACAGGCAAATACAGAAATATGACTAGAACAGCGCTGACCATGTTGTCCCAGCTGCTCCTGCGTCAGGGAGACCAGATACCCAATCATCCTAACGGAGCACAGTGGAGAGTGGAAAGAGACACTATTAATAATTACACCGAGTGTGTCGTCACTCTCTGACCCGCTGGCTGAAGAGCTCCCTCAGGAACTTCTGGGTCCAGCTCTGCACACCAGAACCTTTGCCACCATTTTGACAGAGAAGTTCTCGGAAGATCGCTGGCTTTTAAAAATAGTCACTTATGTCTGGTGAGTGATTACAGTGCTGTGCCACAGACAGGACACTGGGGCTGGACAGTGAAGCCCATGCCCAGGGTTAAGCTGCCCCTTGAGTGCTAAGGGGCCATCTGGCTTGGGTCTGCGCTCTTCATCACGGGCTCTATGGAAACATCCTGAGAGGAAGGAACACAGCTTTAGGGCAGAATGTAAATGGCAACGCTGACTCGGTGTTCCAGTCACTCAAAAGCCACTGGTAGGATGATGAAAGAAAGAAAGGTAATGTTCAGCTACCTAATGTGAGTACATAATGGGGTTTTACATTGGCATGTAAAAACTGGGGATACTTACTATATAATGAAAAGGTGTCTTCAAACATCACTGCTGGAAAAATATACTGTGTGAGTTCTAGGTAGGGATAGGGACAGGGTGTGTCTGGAGTGGAAGAGGAGGGTACTCCTTGGGAAAGTCACAACCAGCTCACAGCTGCTAGGATGTCATTTGGGATCTTGAAAAAAAAAAAAAAAAAGAACCACTCTCACCTGGTCTTTGAGGACTCAGTCATACACCAGGGCCGTATCTCTGGGGGCTGAAGAGTTACCGCCTAGAGAATCAGCCCACTGTGTAAGCGTACATGGCAAGATCATACTGCTTTACCTTAGACAGTGTTTCTCAGTTATTTCCCCTTGTTTCTCCTAAACTCTCCAAGGCTAAAGCCACTGTGTGAGTGAGCCACATCAGACTCTGTCTTTCTCTGGGTCTCACTGACCCAGGACCTCAAAAACAATCCAGGCATCAGAAAGCCCAATCTAGAGAGTTAAAGGTGACTTTTCTCTAATGCCAATATGGGATGCTACCCGGCAGACTTCAGACTCTTGTTGCCTTTGCATATCCATGCAGATAGACACCCCCTGAGTAGCAGAGGAACAGGGTGAAATGGGCCTGGTATCCTCTGCACCCCCCCAGCAGGCCTGTCTGGATCCCTTCCCTCCCACACTCCAGCAGGGCACACCCAGCAGTCTCCTAGTTTTAATTAGGACTGAGCAAACCAAGGAAGCAACTGTTGGCTATTAGACCAAAAGTGACAAGTAGAAAGAAGCAGTGGTGATAAGATCGTGGCTCGGAGCCCTGCCCCAGGTAAGAGCACACCTAGCTAAGAGCTGGGTAGATGGAGAGCCCAGGCAGGCTGCCAGGTAGCCTGGAATCTGAAGTGGAGACTTTATCTCTTCTCTGTCTGGCCCTTGAACTTCTGAGTAAGTTCTCTTTGTGTTTTTCCCCTGGTCTGGGGTACCTGGAAGGAGCATTAACCTCAAACCAAGTCAGGAAAAAAAAGCCAAAGTAACCAGTGCTCCAGAAATCAAAGAACACGTCCCATCTTTTCATGAGGAAATGGATCCTGTGGCCGGGCTTGGGTACCCCGCTGGCCAGGAACCAGCTGTGGGACCTCAGCCCTATGGCCCTTCCTGAGCGGCAAACATCTCACTCTGTTCCATGGAGAGAAGCATCTTTATTTATGCATCTGAGCCAGGTTCCTTGTTTCACTCTCACTACTCTGCAATTTACAACTGTAAAAAGCAAAAGGCTACAAAAATCAGAACCACCCATCTATATAATGAACCGTTTCTTATCACAGCTGGGAAGGCAACAGCGTTTTGTGATAGCAATCAGTATGTGCAAGCTCTCTGCATGGAAAACTATGAAAACAGCAGCCTTTCCGGAGCGTCTGGCTCCTGCCAGCTGCATGTTAATTGTAGCGAAAGCCTCTGCCCATTATTATAAAAGGAAATAAACATTCAGGAGTTATTTCCAAAGCATTTCGATTGTTCCAGAACATTCGTCTGAAGTGGAGGCTCACGGTGCCTAGCAGGTCTGTTTCAGACAGAAACCACCGCCAGCCCTGCAGCCAGCCCCAGGACCCAGGACCCGGCCTCCCATGCCTTCCCTTTCTTCCCAGCTCCTGTTGCAGCTCCTCTTCTGGCCTTTCTGCTTGTGGGGTTCTGTCGCTCACTTTGGGGGACAGGCCCTGATGTTATCTAATTCACCTTCTTCCCACCAGGATTCAGGGTTCAGATAAGGGAGACACCCCCCCCCTTGGTAGCATTTAGTGGGTGGGAAAAAGTTGCAACATGGCCCATGGTGTGGTCAGAGAAGGATCCCCAAGACCCCAAGGTGCTGATGCCCCAAAGAACACTTCAGGGGTGAGTGCCTGCTGGGTGAAGGAGGGGTACTGAGGAAGGTGTTCCAGGGAAGGAACCAGTGTGTGCGGGGCAGAAAGCACCCGTGCAGGTGGGAAGCTGGCCAGCTCTGGCCTGAGCATGGGGTAAGGTTTCCTGATTAACAGAGGCAGTGAAATAAAAAGGGAAGGTTTTACTGAAACTAGTTCAGCTACCTTAGAGCAGGGTGATTCTGCTCTGCTGTTATTTTTTTTTTTTCCCTTTTCTCACTTCAGATGGTGCTGTATGTCTCTCTCTGTGTGTCATGTACATGGCACACCACCCCACATCAGCGCCAACACACACACACACACACACACACACACACACACACACACACACCGCCCCCGGATTCTGGGTAGCAGCCCCTGCCCAGCACCACAGCAGCATGTTTCCAAACTGCATCGGTCAACCCTTCAGCCCTCAAGCTGCTGCTCTGACTGAGTCTTCACATCTCTTTCCATGGAAATCACTATTTACTTTAGCCTTGGATTTTAGCAAAGTTCATTTTAGTTGCTTACAGACATTCACTTTTGACCAGCTGATTTATACCACTTGGGGCTCTTTTTAAAAAGATGGTGACATCTAGCTTCAAAACGCTTCTCAGTGCTAGCCAGACATGTATAGCACGTCTGCACTGCAAAGAGGGTCCCTGAGGAGTGGCCTAGCAAGAGGGAGCATTCCTGTGGGAGGCTCAGATTGTAAGTTATGAACCCCGAAGAGCTGAGGCCTGCAGTGTTCTTCCAACTCCCTGCACCCCTGAGGCTGAATGTAGGCGAGCGTGTGGATTTCTGTACACCAGACTGATACCAAGGCAACGCCAGGAAATGTTGTCTGTTGTTACCATAGCCCTAACCTGTGTCACAAAGACTTTAGGCTCTGTGATGCACCCAGTGTGCAATGAAGGGGGGAGGGAGCATGGACAGGGGGGTTGGTCTGGAGTGTTCTGCCTGTGTTTCCTCCCATGAAAATTGACACTTGGCTGTGTCTGGTGCTTAGTTATTACCCTTGTAACTCCCTTGGGTTCCCTTTTCCACGTGACAGCTATTGGAGGTTCTGAGTGACAGTCCAATAGCAGTTTCCTCTCATAACTTTCCCTGCAAAGGAAAAGCCTGCCTTGCCATCACCTAACACCAGGGACAAAACAAGGCTCATCCTCCATGCAGGCTAGACATCACCAACTATAACCTTCTCGGAGTTCCTCTGCCTGGGGAGGATGAGAAAGCAGGTCAACTATCTGCCCAAAGCCACACCGCTTGTCTACAGGGAGGCTGTGGTGCATCCCCACAATCTAGCAGTCTACCCGCTTCCTTCCATAGAAAGGCTGCACAGCCATGGCACATGGAGTTTCTTACAGCATCTTCTGCAGCCCACACGTTCACCAGCTCTGTCTCTGCAGCCTGCAGGAGATGAGTGCACACCCGCGGCATCATTTGTCAGGGAGTCCCTGAGTTAAGGTTCCCTGTGTAAGATAGAATGAACCCAGTCACGGTGGAGCCAGCACCTAAAATCAGCTATTTTCTCACAGTAAGAAAACCATGGAAGGGCTAGTGTCATCTTGTTGCAGGGGTCCTGTGTCTCACACACACTCCTGGCTCTGCTGTCCCTGGTATGGAACGCTGCTGGGAGGATGGCAGCTGTGCACCTGTTCAGTCTGGGCCTGGCATCCCCTGCTCCCCCCAGATTAAAAAGACTCGTCTGCTCAGGCTGCTGAGCAGAGGTGTGGCCTATCTGTACTGCCAGCTGTCTGGCCAGCTCATCTTTCTTGTGTTCTGACCACCCCCGCCCCCGCACCCCAGCCCTGCAGCCCACTGCACTAAAGCATGTCCCATCCAGCCTGTGCTTTCCTCAGCGCTGCACCTGCTCTTGGGCCTGGGATGGACTCCTCAGCTGGCAAGCCTGGCCTGGGCATGCTGGGCAGGGTCTCCTGGCTGTCTGAGGGTGAGTCCTAACTAGAGGCATGCTCAGTATTCAAAAGGCACAGCACTTGCTCAGGGACCACCCAACCTGAGAGGGGCCTCCAGGTATTCCCAAGCAGCAGGGACAGCTGCCCAAAGGGTGTCCAGGCCTGTGCCAAAGAGCCTCCTGAATTGGTGCCAAGAGGTGTAGGAGTCAGACAAACCTTCAGCACCTATGTGCCAAGGAGCCTCCTGACCCAGCAGAGATGGAGGGAGCCTAGAAGAGAGAGGCACACCTATTTGACCAGGAGGCAGGGTGGGTAGCTGGGAAATTATACAAGAGTATCTTGAGAAGTTGCTGGAGCTCAGAGGGGGTCTCTGAAGGCAATAAAGAAAAAGAAAACATAATTTTAAGCACAAGAACATTGGTGATGCACGATTGTCATCTAGTTAAAGCTCAGGAAAAGCAAGAGCTCTGAAAGTCCTTTGAAACTGGGCCGAGGCAGGGAATCCCCAAAGGGTTCTGTTCCTTAGGACCTCCTGGAGGAGGTACAGAGAAACAAACCACCACCTGTAGCCTAAGGCCTCTCCTGACCCTCCAGCTGCAGTCCGCCCTCTGGGCGCAGCTGCCGTCCTCACTTCCTCTGAGGCGGTGGATGGAAATTGCCTCTGGATGGCAAGCATTGCCAAAGCACCAAATGCTACATTTGGGAACCAGCTTTCTGAGCATAGAGTCTGGCCTCAGGAACCTTAGTCAAGCTTTCTTCCAAAGGGCTTGACTACTGGGCCCAGGAGGAGAGCCCTCCACACTGAAGAGGGAATAAGGACAGTGCTGATTCCTCTAAAGGGCCGCCCACAGCCCCAGAGCTCCAGCAGCAGCACGTGGCAGAAAGGTCTGTACACTTTCCCATCCCGCTGACAAAGACATCCCTCCAACACTCAAGGCTGAGGACAGCCTGGTGCAGCAGGACGTCAGCTCTTTCTTCCTGGGTCTCTCTAAAGGCTGCCCTCTCTGTGATGTGCACACACACAGTCAATCCTGGAGAAAGAGAGAAACCCAGCTGGCTGCTTACTGTTCAGGAACGAGCACTCCGACACAGCAGAGGGCTTTCCTGGGGCTGGCGCACCAACTCCAGGTGTCTTGGGCCGGCTAGTATAATGAAGTCTGTCTCTGCACCCAAAGGCAGT